CCCACAACAACAGCAACAACAACAACAACAGCAATAGCAACAATGCACGCATCTCTTCCACATGCGTGTGCCAAGGATCCAGAACTTCCAAGATGTTCGGGAGAAGCGGCTCAAGGTCCCAGTTCCCAGTTGTTTGGCGCGATTCCGCGTCCGTCGCGGGGGTTGTTGAAAGACCAAGGACAGTGGTCCTGGGAATCCACTGTCCATCGGTCTGGGGTCTCAAATCCTACTGACTAGGTTTTGAGGGACTAAAGAGTGTTTGGAGCATCTGGGATGTCTGTTTTTTGTCGATACTCGAGGTGTAGCGTCCTTGCTACTAGTAGCTTCTTGTGATAAGAGCTGTTGGTTTTGCGTTAGTTTCCTGTTTCAACCACATCATCCTACCGCTCATGTGACAACGCCCAAACATTATTAGCTGGTCGCTAACCTAATTCAACATCATTCAACATAAAGAATTGCCTTCATCTTGGATCTCTGCGATCTGGTGCTATTTTCAGCCGGGCTCTCACTTCTGCAGCCGGGCTCCCCTTACGGCAGGCACTGGAAAACAAGCGGAATCGCATCGAAGGTTCAGGTGTCTTGGCAACATGGCAGAACGACTGGTGTTCGACCCAAGAAAACAGTGATCCAAGGATTCCAAGTGACTTGTGTTGCAAGCTGGGGAGCGAGAGAGATTTAAACAGCGTTTTCGTTGGAACAAGCTGACTTTTGCCTCGTCGTTTCGCGGGTCTTCAATCATTGGTCGACCAACTTAGCCATCTTAGCCAGTTCTTGGACCTATAGCTAGGCCTCTGAAACTCTTGTGTACCACAGAGCTCTTCTCTCTCAAGCTCTTTAGCTTCTGGGATGTACAAACCCTGAGTAATTAGTCAATTGGTGTGGTAGTCACCTAGGACTTTGCAAGATTGATCTCTTCAACATGTGCGAGTGTGAAGAACCAGTAGGGTCCTTCATTTGCTTGTGAATGCGGACATGGGGGGGGAACTTAAGTCGGTGTGTAACTTATCCAGAACTCATCCAGTGAGCAACACATGAAATTAGCTTTATAAATACCGTATATCTACCAGCACCGAACCCGACAGGTCTCCGATGGCTGGAGGGTTGTTGGGAAGGGCCATGTCACAGGTTTCAATTGGCGACCTGTTGGCCGAGTCGGTGCTGGTAGATACCCCTTGATATCATCATCCCCTAAGAATCCGGGCTCCTTCACCAACAGATAGGGTTTGGTTCGGCTTCGGACCCCTGCGTTTCGGTGGAGTTTCGGTCCGACCCTTGCCTTGGTCTTAGCTTGGTGCATGTGACTTTGCCCTGACTGTTCCGCGTGGGCCGCCGAAGAAAGAAGACCGAGGCTTCAAGCATTCCTGCGAGTTTTCGGTGGATGCCAGCCGCTCGTGACCTGAGGGAGAACTGGCCAGTTTGGGACCTCGATGGCCCGAGTGTATGGAATTGGAATCTCTAGCGATGGCCAAGCTGCCTACCTTTGAAGACATGGAAGTCCTGGTCTCGAGTCGGGCAGAACTTCGAAATAGAGGATGTGACTACATTTCTCACACTGGAACGAGCCTGAAAGCTCGCAGCTCACCCCCAGCCTGGGTGGAAGACTGGGCATGTCCTGCCGGCTTGCCTCTTTTACTGCATGTCCCACAGTCTGCCCTTATAAAGTCAGAACTTGCGAGCAAAACGTGCCAGTCATTTTTGTACCAAAGCAAAAAAGGTGCACCTGAGAGTTGTGCCAGTCATAGAGGGATTGGGCCGCTTTCCCATGCTTGGCATTGCTAGAAGCACCTTGAGAGGATTAATCAAGGCGGATGCCGGACACAATGTTGTAAGCCGGCAGGGCTCTGTGGTATGTTCTTGGTAAAGGATGTGACCGGTGAGAAGTCCTTTGTGTGATTGTGACCTACATTTTTTGTAAGATATGCGGACCCAAAGACCCAAAAGGACAAGTACATCATATAAATAACTATATACATATAGACTATAGATTTACACGCTTGGCTTGGGGTTCCCTAAGTGTTTCAAAACAACCAAAGAAGACGCAAGAGGATCTGTGGGTTTGTAAACCAAATAGGAATCCTTTTTGTCGCTACGACACGAAAGCAGGAAATGTGTTCATGGCCTATATGGAAAATACTTCTGGAAGTCAAGTGTCAACCCCACAAATGAAGTTCAGATTCTGGATCGACATGTCATGAACTATGAACCCCCAATGAGAAGGCCGCAAGTCAACTTTTTTTGCAAAGGTTGACACATGATGATACAATTTCTGCCCTTAAGCTGTTCCATATTTCATTTCTGCCCTTTAAGTGGAACAATTGACGATCAATTGAAATATGACCAACTCCTACCCTCCCCCCCCAGCAGCAGCAGCCCGAGTGCCCCGATCCCTCACATCCGGGCACCGTCGGTGCCGAGGCTTCATCCCTCGCATCATCGGGAAGGGTGGAGAAACCATCCGGGCGGTGAGAGAGAAATATGAAGCTTCTGGGCTGCAAGCTGGAGCAAGCTTGTGATTCCTATTTTGGGTGGATATGTTTGGGGCTTTGAGGTTCATTCTTCCACTGGACTGGACTGTTGAATGAGAATCGAGTGTGTTAGCTCTTGCCACACAGCCATTTGGGGTGCTAGCAGGAATTTCTGAACAGCTGGCGGGGGTTAGGATGAAGAGGCCAAATCTGGGCTGGTTCTAACATGTCGCAAGTTCTTGTCTCCCAGCAGTTGGGCATCTCTAATGCGGGCTTCTCCTTTACCAGTGGGATTGTGACAATCGGGTATCTATATTCTATATATCTCTATCTGTTTCTATGGGCAGCATTGTTTAACTACAGTAATCGCATTTGGGGCTCTTTTTGTAGAGAGTGTACATAAAACAAGAGTTGATCAACCTCACAGCAGCACCCAGAAGTATGTTTATCTTAGCTTACCGATTGATTGATCAACATTTCTTGGGATAGTTCAGGTCTTGATTGGTGTTCGCCACATTCAAGGATCTTCCAGGGCACCTCAGTCTCAACAGTTTCCCCGTCACAACTTTGTGATAGGGCACTTGACAGATCTGAGGGTCAAATCTGCCATCACCTCAAAACTCTAGGGCTCACCTCTGGACCTTTACTCACCTCTGGACTCCAAAGCCCCGCAAAAGACGGACGCCTAGGGCTTCCTTTCTCTCTGCCTGTCTGCCGACGCTCAGGTGAACATCAAAATCCTCGAGGAGGACGGCGAGAAGAGCGCCGAGAAGGGCGAGAAGGGCGCCGAGAAGGGCAGCGCCTCGGGGCCCCGCACGATCCGCATCTTCGGCAACAGCGCGGAGAGCATCGCTGCGGCTCGGGCAGAGGTGGAATACGTCGAGGAGGCGGAGAGAACGACAGTATGCCAGAGTATGCTGGGTGGTGGAAAAAACGGGGGGGGGGGGCTTGAAATGGAGTCTTTGGATGTAGCTGGGTTCAATGAAAAGGTATCTGAGAATGCATAGTGTTTTACGGTATTTGCCATGGTTCCACTTGTTTGGGGTAGAAGGTGAAGGATCCGGGTAGTCGTTAGTGTCATCATAAACATCATCCATATTCATAGGGAGATTCATGGGGAGCAAAGGTCTTGGTAGGGGACTTCGGGAAACAAGGACTGGCGATTGGTGTGGCCCGCAATCCGGATTTACTGTACCAGAACTTCGGTGTGTGTAGAGCAAACTCAAGAAAAGATACATAGATTGTAAGCAAAATTCATGGATTGTACAGTGTACAGTAGCCAGGATATGTCATTCTCTGTTTGATGAGTGAAAAATGGAAGGTTGCGATGCTTTGGGGCTCCCACTTTGGACCCGAGAGATCCCGAGAGTCCTTTTTGTTGTAGCTGTTTGTAGCACCATCCTAGAGGAGATCGGACATGAAACATTTCAATCACATCTTATGTTTCTGGCACTTGGATTGGCCCCCCCCTGTGTCATTTCGTGGAGAATGGCACTGATTGACTCCTTCTTCAAGTTTGGTGCATAGTAATCATATACATTGTACATACCTTAAAACCAATTTGCCATGAATTTGGTCAAAAACATGTCAGAGTCAGAAATCACGGTGTAAGGCGCCTCCTTTGGACCTTGGAACCTCCGAAATTCATTTCGTGTTTGTGTGTTCTTTCAGTCCAAGGGCGTGCGAGGTTTTTTGGGGAAGTGTGAAGCTGTTGGATCATGTTGGATCTGTGCGTCACAGGCGATGCCAGTGGATGAAGATCAGTACCAGTGGCTTTCAGGAAGCCACTTTGCGAGGATGCAAGCGCGACACAAGACTTGGGAGCACAGAAGTAGCGTCAACAAGACTTGGGAGCGTGGAATGCATATACTTTGGTGGTTTCCGCAGATTCTCTGTAAATTCCATGAGGGTATGGTCTCTCTCTTGCGGACACGATGAGGATTTATTCCCTCCAACAACTCACTGGGACTGTTTCACAGTCAGATCGTCCAGCGGCCCCTGCCCCAAACCGCACACGGCGGCTGAGTCATCGCCCTCCCGGTGAGGAAGGCTCACAGAGGACCGGTGAAGGTACGTTGGCAGGTCATAGAACCAATACAACCCACTGCCTGCTAACGGGCCAACGGGTGTCCTGTTGAAGATCCCGCCTGTCAAGCCGACACTACTTAGTGTAGGGTCACCCACCCTTTGGAGGGTCTTAGCAGCACAGCAAACAGGCCCAGCCGATGGCCGGGCGTGTTTCGGGCATGGCATGTACCGGTGGACATCGTTTGACCTCGTGGCCGTTCGATCCGTTCGCCTTGGACATCGAAGGGGATGGAAGAGAAGACGCGCCGTCTCGATCAAGAAATGGTTTGGACCACGTCGGCAAGACTGTTCAGGGCCTAGGCCGCCTAGGCCTACTTAGTATACTTGGGGTGTCAAAGTGTTTTAAGGGCAGACAGGACCCGTGGATGACAGGACTCTCGAGGTTCAATCGACGTTGATATCGATCCTGATTTTCTCACCGAGGCAAAGGAATGCGCAGCATTTGGACCTTCAAAGAAGCTGCAGGACGTGGGACATGTTTCTTTCTTTTTCTTGCCATGTGCGCCGGCACGAGAGGTGATGCTCAGGCACGAGAAGAGATGCTCCGGCACTGCAGGATCCTGATGGTTTCGTCGATGGTTTCGTCGATGGTGTGCTTCTCGTCGACTCGGATGACCATGTTCCGAAGACCAGGCAGTCCCAGACCAGGTGGGGAAACCATCCGTGTTGAACTCGAGCGAGGGTCCCAAGGACCGGATCATCAGGGCGCCGGTGCTTTTTGAAACAGACGATGTGCATGTCTTCATTCATGTTAGAGAACCGCAATAAGGTGGTACCGGCCTCGTTTTTAGTTGATTCATTTGTTTTTTGGAAGGTTTTGGTGAGATCCTCAATAATTGGTCTTTCTTTGTGACCAGAGCATTAAAAAACATCTGAAGCATTCATGTCTGAAGCTTTCCTGAATATATATATATATATATTTTTGTGGATCCAGGCCATGATTGTACCTCCCAAACCCTGAACTTTTTTTGAAATGCTTCGATTTGATCTTCTTGACACGTCGTATTCTATTGAGACCAGCTACCTATGACGAATACTACACCGGTGAAAACTAACATCTTGGCCAAAAAAAGATATTCTGTTTTTTGGGCATATGTTAGTTTAGTTTCCGAGCGGACACCGTTGAGACTAACCTAGACCAAATTCAGATGTGCCATGGTGGGCCCTACAGGTATGTGACATGGTCCATGTTAGCCTGCACCGGGCCATGTTGATCTCTACCGGCGCGGTCTATGTTAGCCTGCTTCGTTTATAGTCAGAGTGCAGTTGGTCCATGTTAGTGTCAAAATCGATCATAGACTGAGAGTGGGAACGGTCCATGTTAGTGAGGGTCCAGAAATTGCCAAAAAGGGCGCTAATACCGTTTCCCCAGGAAGTCACCGTTTCCAGTGGTCCATGTTAAAGCGCACTCGAAATTGAGTTACGGTCTATGTTGTTTTTCCCCGGAGTATCTCTTTGACTTGACTCCATGCGCATGACTGGGGAGAAATGCGCAGGACTGGTCTACACCCGCTTGGAATACGAGAGCCAACAGTTGCTCCTGCTTCTCGGCGTTGCGTTGCTTCCGGAGGACATTGGGGGTTGTCGCAACGCCACATGCATTCTTTTTCACCATGAGTTTGATCGTGAAATATCCTGAAGCTTCCACTGACTTGCTCAGCAGCTGCCAAGGGTGCGCTTTGGGCTGGGGTCTGGCTCGCATGATGAAGTCTGCAATAAGGACAGATTCTGAGCTGTTTTGCGGGACAGCTAAGAAGAATCAGTGCAGACACTTCTGAGAGAATCACATCACCCACCCTTTCTTCCGAGTTTCTTTTCTCATGTGACTGACAGTGGTTTCTACGGTGGAGGAACATCATCATCCCAGGGTTGCGTTCCACTTCCATCTGTTGTGGGTGGAGGAACATCATCATCCCAGGGTTGCGTTCCACTTC